TGAAGAGGGAAGGTGATGGTGTTGACGCTAGGACGTAAAGTTTCTTTGGCTGAGTATGTAGGTTGTCATTCGGGAAGAATGGTATTAAAGGTGTTATGGTGTGATATTTAGTGTCGATGAGCGGAACAGTTTAAGTTATGATCTTAGTGTGGTTTAGAGATTATGAGTTGTTTGTTATGTGTTGTGTTGTCAGGTAGGTGATGGGATTATGCGCCAATTAAGGTGATTGTTGACAATTTAGTCTTTAGAGCTAGTGAGGACGATGTTGCCATATAGGCACCTTTTTCTTTTGACGAGTAGTTGGTTGCTATGACTGAGGTCACGAGTCTTGGGCACGGTGTTTGAGGTAGTATCACCAGGGAAGGTAGAGATGGAACGGGTGGTATGGATCTAATTGGTTTTGGCTAGTATGGGTGTCGCGGTATAGCGTATGCAAGGTTTCGGTGTTAATAGTGTATAACGGTCAGGTAGTGGCGAGATCACTTAGAATTGAGTTTGTAGTTCCGTACAGGTATCTGGTTGGTTCTTTTCCTTTTGTGTAAGGAGTTTAGTTTATCTTAGGTGAGATTGGGTGTCCACGGTTAGACGATTGGTGAGCAACATGTGACAGGGTGTCAGTTGCATTTAGGTACAAGTCATCAATTTCTTATGAGAGCAGGATTCGTACCCTTTGTGTTTGTTTTAGTCATGACAAGGACACCATTGGTTGGGAGTTTTGTTCTCCAGTTAGGAGTTATGCGCATCCGCGGATGGGCTAACCCGTGTGTGGTTTGTTATGTTGTCAGGGTTCATCGGTAAAGTTTGGTTGAATGGGTCGACTCACTCCCATGGAAGGAGATGGAGTCTTTGGTTTTTTTAGTGCTTATTATGAGAGTTGTCTTGATCGGTGGTGTGTGAGGCACAAGTTGCCGAATAGGGATTGTGTGTTTCCAGTGTGTAGTATTAGCGGTGATGGCTAAGTGGTGTGTTTTGAACTGTAAGTTTGAGGATGATTAGGTGATGTGATGTGAGTCATGTACTCGGATGTTTTCATAAATGTTTGTGTTGAGCAGCATCTTAAGGACAAGTGTTGGTATTGTTTGAGTGCTAAGCAACTAGAGATGTGAATGGGAGATTCCGTAGAAGAATAATGGGAATGATTGATTTTAGTTTTGAGATTTCAGGCATGAGATAGTCGTATTGTGTGTTTTGACGAGGTGAGAATTGAATCGAATGGTGTTAGGGAGTTGTTTACATGGTATGGGTGTTATGAAGAGATCGGAGAGCCTTTATGCGGGTTGATGATTGTGATAATTGCTGTCTTATTTCTTTTAGCTTGTTATAGTTGTGTGATTAAGGTATGATTGGAATTTTTTTAGAGCAGGTATATGACTGTATAGTTGTTGAGGTTACGTAAAGTGATGGATTGATAGTGAGTGGATCTCATAGTTGTCTTGTGGACTGTCTGAGATTGTGTTTGAGGGTTAAACTTAAGGACATGAACGACGTCTGTGTTGAGATCAGATCGATGATGAGAATGGCCTGGCCAACCATTTCTCCTGAATTAATCCCCCTTTAGCATGATATTAGGTCAAAGGTCAATAATTGTTTCGATTTGTCAGGGACAGTGAGAGTATGGTATTGTGCGTTGTATCGGTGTGACAGTGTGGATTCAGATGATTTGTTTCAGGTGACGAGATGTGTTAGGTAGAACCAATTGTCCGACGACCATTGATTATTGAAGATCTTGTTTTAAGGATTTGTGTCTTAGGTACCGGATAATATGCTTTATTATTTTGGTGACTCATGATTATGTAATCATTGGGAGATCTGTCGTTTAGTCATCTTGAAGTTGTTATGTATGAAGATTGTCATATAGTACGGTTGGTAGTCGCTTGTACCGCGTATTGAGTAGTATGAGTATGGTTGTCGAGAATGTGTTTATTAGGAATGGGACATGGTGAATGGCGGACCGGATTCCTTATCTGGGGTTTTAGGTGTCCTTCAAAGGATAAATCATGATTGGATGTCATCATTTTCGGTGGTCTAGTGACCATTCTTCTTTTGGGTTTCAAAGCCCTACGTAGTAGTGTAGAGTGGACCGATGTTCATTTTGAATCGGGTATAGAATCCAGTTAGTTTATGTTATGATATGGTGAGTGATGATTACCATCATAGGGTGGTGAACATTGTGTTTTAGTGGCAGTGGTGTGCGATTACTTATCGATGTCCGGTGCAATAAGGTTGATGAGCTCTTGGTCTTGTTGTTTTGTGATGTGCTTCTCAGGAAGGTGTGTGATTGTGGACCCTTTTTTCTTTAAGGAATGTAGATTTCAAGGACGAAATCTATTTAAGGAGGATAAATTGTAATATTACTCATTTTTCTATTTTCAAATTTTCGAGAATTTTTTGAATTTTTGGATTTTTATTTTTTTTGTAACTCATTTTATGTGCTGAGCATCGTGGGGTGTGTAGGATGGGTTCCGAGAGAAATTTTAAAAGTTCAATGATGGGGTGGGTGGGATAAATTAGTGGCTAAAGTAGCCGTTTTAGAAATTTTAAAATTCCATATCTACAAAACCAATTAAAAAAATGAAAAAGAAAAAAAAGAAAAATGAAAACATGACTGATGTCCTCATATTCTCAAGTGAAAGCGGTTGAAAATTTAAATCTAGACAAGAACTGAAAGCGTATAATATCTCTCAGAATAAAAGATAGAAAAAATCTCGTGAGATTGTTTTGTTTGATTCTTTCCTTATTTTTTAAAGATTATGGTATTTGTTTGATTCTTTCCATATTGTTTGGTAACACTAGGCAAATAAAAATTCGGGTCATTCAACCCCATAATGCACCGAACACGATAGTTGACGAGTACATGAGCTGGACTTATCTTGTTAAAATATACTACTATCTATACTGGAATTTTTGGCATATATATAACAATTACGAGATTTGTCTTTTTTAAATAGTTCACATGTGAATGCCAAAGATTTGCTGTGTCATTATTTGAGATTCACCTAGATGATGAAAAAAATAATAATAATAAAAAGTTACCAAAACAATAAAGCATACTATACGGTTTGTCCTTTTAATGTTTTCGGATGAGAAAACATGACAACTCGGGCCTATGAATACATGGGTCGGTCAGTTATATTTTTTTTTCAGGGAAGTTAAAATGTTATTTATTTATTTTTACAGTGGAAGTTAATACATAATGACATGACAGTGTTTTACAATGAGAAAATGTGATAAGTCCAGCCTGTTTTTTTAGTATAATAATATTAATAATTCAGATTTTTTATGGAACCACGTAATTTGTGTTGGACATGTACTTTTCATTAAAATAATACGATTTTGATCTACCAATATGGATCCATTGCACAATGAGGGGATTCCACTTTCTTGCACTGATTATTAGAATTATTAATCAACAATTATATCTTGTTATATAAAAAAAATACATTTATTTTTTATTATTATATTTAATCAATTGGTAATATCATGAAATATTAAAGAATTTATCCTCTTTCCAATATTACGTAATGATAATGGTCAAATTTATTAACCTAAAAAGAATTGTATCTTTACATAGTGCGTATCTCCAACTAAGGAGATAATATCATCGATCTGATAATTGAACAAAAAAAAAAAAAAAAAAAACATACATACATCCATCGGTTTAGGTTAATGTTTAAAAAATAAAAAATTCTCAACTATGACAATTTGCTAATAATTGATGCTTTGTTTATTAATACAAAAGTTGTTGGTGCCATTGTTTAAGTTGAAAGTTGTCGCTTTCTTAATCAATGATTATTAACTATTCGTGTGCGCACGTATATCAACTACCTCACTTACTTGACCAAAAATAAATAAATAAATACCTATTAAGCATAAAAGCTCTAAATTAATAATGTAATTGCATGTCAAACTATTTTGAGGCTTTATAAGTTAATAACTAATTAATAAGCAAGTGCAAAATTATAAGTTATCAATTAGTTCCACTCCATATAACTAATTGATAACCAAGTGCAACATTTATAGATTTAAACCACCAATGTATAATTTTAAAATAAATTTTTTTTTTTTTTTTTCGTTTGAACTCATATAATAATTCTTATAAGTGTGTGTATATAAATATAATGAATTAATGATATATTGCACTAAGAAAAGCTATAACAATGAACTTATATTTTCATTAATTAGACAAGATTTAAACTTTTAAAAGTAAGCTGAAAAGGTTCAAAGTGAAAGTTTCTATAAGTTTTGAGTTGACACAAGTTATATTTATTTTAATACTCATAATTATTGGAGTGAATAAAAAAGCATTTTGAAAATTTTAGGGATCAATTCAAATTTTATATGAGTTTTGGGCAAAAAGTTAAATAAAAAAAATGAAAGCATAAAGAAGAAATTTGGAAAATTTTGGGGCCCTACTCCGCTCCTCAATAAATACCTAAAAATAAAAAATAAAAGAAATTCTTATGATTCCATTGGGTGGCTATATATACCCATGCCATTTCCCTTGTATTTCAAGACAACTTATTTGCTTCAACACATCTCTCAGCGTTTCCCAACTTTTTGGTATGTATGTATTTCCCATCTTTTTGGCTATTACGTCTGCAACCTTTTTCGTTTCTATTTTTGCGTTCCTTTTGTCTATTGATACTCATCAAAAGTTACATATCAGCAGCTATTTTATAGCCAGCTAGAGATCAGTAAGTAGTAATTGTTCTCCATACTCACCTACCACTAACCTATACCATTCTTGAGCGTTATTTTCAACTCAGGCTTTAAGTAATGGTCTCTGATTTATAATTTTTAACTATGCCTTTCTTACTTTTTTTTTTTTTTTTTTAATTGCATACTTGAACACATATTGCGTACCCACATATGCATGCATACATACTTACATATATATATATATATATATATATATATATATATATATATATATATATATATATATATATATATATCGGCTTTTGATTTAATTACTTTCTCATGCAAGCTTCAAGGACTCCATGGCAAATGGGCAAAGTACTGTTACTCTTGGGCCACATGGTGGTAAAGGAGGAAAACAGTGGGATGATGGAACTTACAACACGGTAAAAGCATTAACAATACACTCTGAAGAGAAACTGTATTCCATCCAAGTTGTCTATCATGATAATGAAAGAAAGCAAGTATCAGGAAACAGACATGGTGCCGTTGCCGGAAAATCATCCGCGGTAATATACATATGTATATGTGTGTGCAATTTGATTTTTAAATATGTTGTTACTCATGCACAAGTTTTTTAAAATTCTATATTTTTCATTCCTCTCATGTTTAGTGAAAGCTAGCTAGCTAGACAGCATACTATATATATATATATATATATATATATATGGACTATACAACATTAAATGCAATTTGACTTAAATTTGACTTTCAAATCTGCACTGCTGCACAAATATGTATGATTATGTGTTTGTCATGCCTCTCATGTTTGTGAAAGCTAACTAGCTACACGTAACATCTCAAAAAAGCAAATAATAATAAAATAAAGAATAAATGAAAAATAAAAAATTCATTACGGACTATACCATATACGTGTATATAAATATTATGAAGAAAGAAAAATAAAAAGAAAACTAAACTCACGAAAACGATTTAAACAAATCTAATAATTAAGCCTCATTAGCATTTCAAGGTTCAAATATTCAAGTGGAATTCACATCATGTACACATGAAATATATAAATTAATCAAATCCTCTTTGAGTCAATTCCTTGTGACAAAAACATTAGGGAATTCGAAACCTTATCAAAAGTTCCAAGGACCTCTTCACACTAAAATAATATGCTTGACCATCATCATCATTTCAATTTATTAATTATTGCTATTATAAATTTTTTTTTTTTTTTTTTTTTTTTTTTACCACAATAAGTTATTGTAATGGTTGAAATTGTGTGCATATGTACTATCTTAAAACAAGTTATATACCCCTTCTTCAATTCTTCAATTTTTTTTTTTTCGCTCTCTCTCTCTTTTTCGCGTGTAATTAATGTAAGCGTATCCTTGTTTATTGAAATCTTATAGGTAATATTAGACTATCCTACCGAGTACCTCGTTTCAATATCAGGGTACTGTGGATCCTATGGACCACATCGTGTTGTGACGTCTCTTACATTACACAGCAATATAAAGCAATATGGACCATAAGGTAAGGAAGCAGGAAGTGATCATTTTAAAACCTCAACAACTGCTGGCAAGATTGCTGGATTCTTTGGTAGGGCAGGTGATCGTGTGGATTCAATTGGATTATACATGAAGCCAATCCTAACTAAAATACCTATTGGTCCATTTGGAACTACTAGTGGACAGAAATGGGATGACGTAGTCTATAGCAAGGTAAGTGAATTGATTGTACACTCTGGAGCAGTAATTGATTGCATCCAAGTTGTCTATGATAATGAAGGAAAGAGAGTATTGAGAGAAAAGCATCGTACTGTCGGCGGACAAGAAAACAAGGTTAGTTATAATTTGCCATTTAATAATACTTTATAATAATAACAAAAAATTCCTCTTCTTTGTTGAAGATTTTAGTACTTAAGCTTTCATTAATGCAAATATGAATGCCATGCATACTTATCTTTATTTTTTTTCCATTTTTTATTTTTTATATTTTATACCAATTTAACTTATGTAGGTCAAATTAGATCCGGATGAATTTTTGATCTCATTTTGGGGGTACTTCGAACAAGTAGGTAACATGGTTGTTATACGGTCACTTGGATTTCAAAGCAACAAAAGAATGATTGGACCGTTTGGTGTGGAGGATGGAGAGAAATTTCAATTCTCATCTAGTACTTGTGCCAAGATCATCGGATTCTATGGAAGGTCCGACAAGTATATTAATGCAATTGGAGCATATCTCGACAACTGAGGATAAAATCGAAAAAATGATCAAGCACCACCTTTTACTAGTCTTTAATCATCAATAATATAAGTGCATTTGCATTCGATGCATTTATAATAATAGTGCTATGTGTTGTCCATGAAACTTGGTGAACATGGTTAAGGCAACACAAACTCTTATCTTTATGTGTTGTTTCAAGTAATTTTCATGTTATGTTGTGTGCTAAGCTTGAAAGTTTTTCTTGATTATATATTTTAATTGCAAAATTATGTCAATCCAGTGATAAAATGTTATATGTTATCTCTGGTGTTATTTATAATAAATTGGGTTATTTATAATAAATTGGTGGTTGTACTTGCAAAATTAGAGAAGAAGCGTGTTGCTTGTGAAAAATATTATGGTTTCGTTTGATAAATTATCATTTGACATTGGATAATTTGGATATGTTTTGTAGATCGATGGATGGTATTGAAAAACTCTGTTTCCAGGCATAATATGTATATTTCGATATATAACTCAATGAGGAAAATATATATTTAATATTAAGAAATTTTTGAATAATTCATGTCTTTTCTATAGAGAACTCGAAAATTACATAGAAAACTAATATAACAAATTAAAAAATGTGAGCAGAGGGAGATTAGGCAGTCGTCTAAGGCCAAAACCAATAGAAAGGCTCTAAAATATCTTAATTTTTTAAAAAAATGCATCTAAAATTTTTATTTCCTTCCAATAGAGAAATTTAATTGTGTGCCCAAAATATTTCTACACTTATCCCAATTTTAGAAAGGCCCCAAATTTTTATTTTCACATATTATAATGTTCCTAAATTTTTTAGAGTAATACAATCATGAGAGCCCTCTCATGGTGAGCTCCATCTCCTTGTCTAACCAATGAATTGAAATATTTATTGAATGACTCATTTGTCTTTTCACACATCTCAAAACACTGTCTCAATCCAGTAGTTAAATAAAGAGAGCTACGTCTCTTGTTATGAGAAAACTCTTATAATAGCATTACACAAATTATTTATTTCCTTCCAATAATGAAATTATTTATTTACTTCCAATATTAATGAAATTTAATACATCGCCAAATTTTTTTTATACTTATCTCATTTTTATTTTTATTTTTATTTTTTCTGTCTATCATTCCATATTTTTTATTCTCCCCTATATTGTCATTACACTAGCTCTAATTATTGAATATATATTTAAACATCGTGGAATTGTAAAACTTTCCATATTCTTCACTCAACTTCTAAACTCATTTTTCCCCTCATTTCTCACTTACTTTTCCTTCTCTCTCATTATAATGTCTCTCCCTCTTCTATAAGTATAACTTCTTGTCTCTCCTACGTTCATCGTAATCTTACAATCTCACTCCATTCGAAGAATTTTTGAAGCATTGGACTGGATTTTTCTACATCAGTTTTTAGTATTTTTTACCTTAAATTATTTTATAATTTTTGTGACGGCCATGGTTTTTCAAGCTAGTGCGTCTTGTGATGAACCGGAGTTTGACTCGATAACAGATCCGAATGCGGAAGTGAAAATAGAAAACAAGACTCTAGAGATGCATTGCATCTCTAATAAGCCAAAGTGACCTTCCATGAGGCCACGATCTCAATGAGAACAATGCGGAAGCGAATGATCAGAAAAAGACCGAACAAGCCCCCAGGGGCAAAATAGTCTTTTTACATGAAGCAACGTTTTTGGAAATGTACATCACTTCCAAGACCTACGCATTACGTCCCATGAAGTCACGGGACTCGAAAAAAAACAAAGCGAAAGCAAATTAAAACGAAAACCGGACAAATTTAGTCCCAAGGGCAAAATGGTAATTTTTTGAAAATATAAATTTGGGTGCCACCGGGTACACCACTGGAAAAAAAGCAAAAAAACTAATCAAAATAGACTCAAGAATCGCATAATTCGGAACTCGAACGAAGAAGAAATAGCAAAATAAGAAAAACGCGCAATAAAGCTAAAAGGGTAAACTGGTAACTGTCCAAAAAGATCTGGGCATAACCGAGTACACCATTGGATAGACGACGAAAAATTAGTCAAGTGCAAAAAATATATATCTCGATTTGGAGTGCGGATGAGGGAGAAATGAGGGTTTGAAAATGTGATGTCGAAGAGCCAAAAGCCAAGGCATGGCAGCAGCCTTGAAAAAAAAGCTGCTGTGTGATTTTTCTGCAACCTCCAGAACTGAGAGCAAAAACGGACATGAAGATGGTGTTTTTTGGAAAAACACGAAGAAGAACCCCCCCCCCCCCTTCCCCCCTCTAAAATTGAGTTTTCTACCCGAAGGCATGCACGGAAACAAAAAAAAAATGCGCTGTGAAAAGCCCAGAATGCCCCCAAAAAAATTAGATCAAGAGGGTTAAAAAACTAATAAAATGCATAACAGAAAACTGAACTTCGCGCGGGATTTCCGGTACCAAGAAGACATTTTCTGGAAAAATGCAAACAAGAAACCCTTCCTAAAATCATGTTTTCAACCTGACCATGTCGAAAGAAAAAAATAAAACTACTGTGAAATGTCCAGAAAGCCCCTAGATCAGATTGTGCAGAAAACGTCAAAAATAAATCCGTAGAGTGCTCATTTTGTGAAATATAACACTAAACTAGAAACGATCACGCACGCGAATGTAAATAGTGATTTTGAGCGTGCGGGAATGGTCCGTGGCTCCCGAAAAGGATCGATGCAAAATACGACCCCCAGATGGCCAAAAATGGCTAAAATGAACTAGAAATAGAAAATTTGAAAACTAAAATTAACAAATGATTTCAAATTACCGTTTGGCCATGGCCACACTTTATACATTATTAATGAGACCCAATGAAAGAGTAAAAATGGAATTCCCACACCCGATGCAACATGGTGAAGCAATGACTTGTCATTTTTCAATATTTTCATAATATAACTTGAAGTCAAAAGTACAGAGGATGCAAAGTAAATGTCATTGGCCTCCGGCTTCATTTCATACATGTCAAATACATTACAAAAGGTGTACTTAAGTACACATTACATAATTAGAACCAAATATATAAATTTTGACATATAAAGCTAAAAAAAAAATGGCATTTCATACTAACATTTGCATAAAATGAAACTTCAAGTCTACAAGTCATCCAAAGAATGATGTGCATCTCGAAACAAAGTCTTCCTGCCTGAAACAGGTTGCATTAAGCGAGGGGTGAGTATCTTGTGGAAATCGTAGAGAATGAGCATGCATAGACCTAGCATTTTACAATATTATCACCTTAGGGTGAAACAATTTATAGGGATTATGCCACCTGACGTCTATGTTAAGAACGAGACTCGGGGATCATTCGAAGTTACTTTAAAGCATTTCTAGGATAAATCACAATATTTATGCGAGTAAACAATATAGAAGCATATAGTGCAACGCAACGAGACATATGTATCCAAAGTTGTCAAATTGTAACCAAGAATGCGATAACAACAGAAACAGTTCATGTCATCTAGAATCTAAGTCAAGATGCTTACATAAGATCATTCCTAAGTCATGTCAACATGAAGCAACATGAATCACGATATCTATGAAATTGAACAAGGTTGGGACATTCCACACAAGACGACAAGATTTAAATCTTCAAGAAATACTAGAAATTTAAAGAGTGAAATCAAGGATAAAGCATAATGTCTATGTAATTTTAAAAGGTTGGATCACTCCTTATAACACGAAAAAGTTTTAAATCTTCAAGGAATGCAACATTTGAAATTTAAAGAGTTAAATCAGGGCAAAGCACAATATCTATGCAATTAAACAAGGTTGGAACATTTCATATAGCATGAAAAGGTTTAAATCTTCAAGGAATGCAACACTTGAAATTTAAAGAGTGAAATCCAAGATTAAGCATAAAGTCTATGCAATGAAATAAGGTTGGAATATTCCATATAATACGAAAAGGTTTTAAAACTTCAAGAAATACAACACTTGAAATTAAAAGAGTGAAATCAAAGATGAAGCATAAAATCTTTGCAATGAAACAAGGTTGGAATATTCCATAAAACACAAAAAAGTTCTTAAATTTTCAAGGAATAACACTTAAAATTTAAGGAGTGAAATCAAACAATGTGGATACTCGGATATGGCCTAAATTAAAACCGTACTCTCGGGATCACTTTAGGGCTACTAACCCATGGGTACCTTCCCCTAGTGCGCACTATAATGTAAGGAGATTTCTATCTCCCGTACTAGAACTAAGTCCTACCCATGTCAATTCTTAATTGATATCCCAAGTTCCAAAATCAATAAGATGTGCAAATCAAGATATAATATATATATTCAATGCACTTAGCTAAGTACCATGCACAACAAGTCATGGAGGTCACACAAGGTATGCCCTAGGCATTCAAGCTACAATGGCATATTAAATGTCATATAAATAAATGTGTATGCTAACAAGTCAAATTATAACTTCAACTTGTAGAATTCTATCATGTGATCATATAGCAAGTTCCAATTTATAAATTTGTCAAGAATTCAATATCAAAGCATAATTAACTCGGTAGGAGCATAAAAAGGGAATTTAATCAACTTAAAGGATTAAATTCTCAAGACTACAAGGTAACTCTAAATATTCTACGAACAAGATATGTCAAAGGTCATGTCAAGGACTAATTTAATATTAAGTTATAAGTTCATTCCAAACAAGATACAACCATGTGAATTAAATTCTATACAAAGGAAATAATTAAACATAAGTCTCAAAACTTATCCGATTATTTTCTATTTAATACACGTGAAAGAACTTGTCAAGGTAATCAAGAATATCAAGTTAGAAACTTAATCAAGTCCATGGAACCATTGAATATATTTTTAATTAATTCACTTAATTAAAATCTTTAGATTTTGAAACTTATCCAAATGCTCTCAAATTAAAGTATGCTATTAAACATGTCAAGACTTAATTTAATAGCATAACATAAATGAATTCCATGCAAGATACGACCATGAGTATTAAACCTTAATACAAGAAAATAATTAAAAG